CCACTGGCCACAGGACTTGTCACAACCCTTACCCTTCTTCTTATTACCCTCATCACTCAAGTCATTACTCAAATCACTATTATTTTGAACTCTACCCAAATTCATCTGCTTAAAATCTATTCTACTTCTCGTCATATATAATTCACTACTTCTCTTATCATCTTTTTCAACTTTAATCTCCATCTCTTTACTTGTAAGAGAATCAATGACAATTTCATGTATTAGGGTGTTCCTACCATATTTAATCGCATTCTTAACCTCCTTATATAAATCAGGCATAAAATTAAGCAAGATAATGACCTTATATGTTTCAGACACATTCTCATCACAATTAAAGATATCTTGAACAAGTTTTTTAAAAATATCCAAATTGTTATCAAGGTACCTTGAAGGATCCATTTGAAAATTGAAAATATTTTTGAGCAATAAGTCCTCCAACTTTTTCCGAAGTTTTTTAGGAAAATCGAGTTCTCCAACTTTTCACAAAATAGTGTTAGACAGATGTAAAATAATTGAAGTGTAAGTAAGTTCATAGTATTTTTTTTTGGGGTCAAATTTACAGAAAATTTGACATTATAACTTTTTGTTGATCCAAAATTCTCTTCATCTTTTGTTGTCAAATTGAAAAATTCTCTTTTCTAATGAAAATTCCCACTTCAAAAAGTGAATATATTTTGAAAAATAAAACAACCAAAGTGTACAAATAAATCACATAAAATAATCCTAAGGCAACAATATACACCGTTCTAGATTATCAGAGTTTCATGCTATTCAAGATCTCAGTATCAAAGGATTGTTTAAACGGGTCAAGTTCGGTGTTCTAATAGAATAATCAATGCAATATGAAAGCATGTCAACAAAAAATTTAGTTTATAACGCAATGTAATCTCATACAGTGACTAATGATAATTAAAACACAAAAAAATTATCTACTTGCAGTTAAATTCAACACTTCAAATATGATAAATACATCCTAAATTTCTAGCACCAGCAATGGTTACCCTCCACGATAACCCCAATCCTAATGTCACCCCACACGATAACTTGTTAATGCTGAGATTTGAACAGGATAAGCTAATATACTATAGCAGACCAATCCGAGTTGATCAATAATGAGAGAAGTGAATTTACCACTTTAGGGCCACCATTGTTTGCCCTAAAATCTCCAACAACAACTGAAACACAAACACCAATGTTGGGAACTCAAACATCCAAGGGCAAAACTGTCTAGAGTTACAATTTTATCCAAAACAAAAATCGAACACCATCACAAGGTCCATCTCGTCAGGCAAGGAAGAGAGGGAAATCCCCCATTTTGTCGCCATGCGCTCACAAGAGTTTCTGAACTTGTTGCCATGCGTGAGGGTCGCCTCCACCTGTATGTCATGCTTTTGGTCTTGGTTTGTCCAATCGATCACTGGATTGGCCGAAAATTGCACAAATAGATTCGGGCAGAATAATTTCGAATTGGACAAATTCATTTTTCTATTTTCCACTTGATTTTTGCCTATTTTTGGATCAATTCTTAAGCTAAAATCTACCACCTTAAAGCTCTGATACCAATTGTCATGGGAACTCCGTGAAAAGATCTTCTAACGATATTTTTGGAGCTCAATTTTATGCTACTTTTCTCTATCAAATAACAAATCCGAACGGCTATAACCCACAACCAATATTTACTTAGGTTGTTTCTCAATCTTACCGACAAAGGATAAGATAATGATGTTAATTTTTAAGCCACAAAAGCAAGAAGAAAGCAATGAAAAAGGCACGAAGAGAAGACCAATAACACAAGTAAACCACGGGTTTCGGAAGCATAAAGTAGCTGGATTTTTTCCTCTCAATAGTAGCCACTTTTTTTCAATTTTCACACACAAATCACACACTTAGTCGGCTAGGTCAAAGCAACATGTATATAGAAATGGGCTACGCTTTAGTTAGACCAATATAAGGGTTAAATAGCCATCCAATAAGTAAATATATGTGTCACTTGAGCAGTATTAATTTCTTAAACTACTTCCAGCAATCCACGTTGTTTTTGGATTGAGCCTTTGGATTTGGTTGTTAGTAATCAATTCACCATTGGCCAAGGCCTGTAAATTAAATTTCGACATTTACATCATAACCCGAGATTCATTGAGTATCAATACTCAACAATCAGGAACAATAAAGTGTAGAGTTTCTTGTATTATATGTTTTTGTATGGCATAATTTATTTTTATTCCACTTTAGTTCTTTAATTGTCTATCAAATCGAGTTTTCTTTCTAAGTAAGTTTGTCTTTTATAAAATATGCCACCTATAATTATTTTTGCTCAGAAAAATTCTCTATAATGTTGATGAACAGTTAGGAAACCGAATGCATGACATTTAGGAAAGGTTTGTTGTTGAATAATGGGGAAGCGAAATTAATTGAAATTTCTGAAAAGTTGTTGATGAAATTAATAGGCCAATTATATGTTATGGACCAAATGATGTCACTAATATCTCTGGGGACGATGATTCTTTTAGCATATATTAATGATACAATAAATTTGGTCTGTCATTAACCTGCCGTATAAAGTTAAACGGGTGGTCATACACATATAAGACAATATTGGGAATATATATATATATATATATATATATAAAGAAATGACTATGTAGAAAGATTATATATTTTTTACGTAAATTTAAAAGAACTCTTTGGTCATAAAAGTAGTGTCAGATGATGAGAATGAGGAGAGGTAAAAATTCAAAACTAATAAGACTCGTTGAAGTTGACTATAATGAAACACCAAAAAAGAATAAGGTATACGACCTTAATTCATTACAATTAAGTTAGCCATTTTCAAGCAAATATATGTACGTACTGGTTCTAGTTGCATTTAGGAATTGGTTCGAAGTTATAATCGGATTCGTGCGTCCATAAGAAATTTTTTTGACAAGAAAGGAGACTATTAGTTTTATTAATCAAGGATAGTAATTTTCTTCTGTATGTTACAAATTGTTTGTAATAAAAAAATAAAGAAATATAATGAGATTCAAAATTTAGGTTAGGTTGGTTCCTAAACTTCCCAATTCAACATTTGATATTTTGAGTAACCAATGAACATTCCAATTTTAAATTCAAATCATACATTTGTAGTAAAAATAATTTCACTCATCTCACTTTCTATCATTTTTGTGGAATCCACAAATTTTATCAATTTTTTAATCATACATTTTACCAACTTTTATTAATCTAATTTTTAACCAAATCAATACCTATACGTTGTAGTAAACGATTCTACCATATAGGCCACCACATTCCTAATTCGAGAAATGAAATGACACATTTTATTCATTTGCTACATGGGCATAAATACTAGATAATTCAACACTTTTTTCTAAGATTAAACCCTTGTTTGGTTTAGTTAAAAACCAAATTTTTAGGAAGTTTTAACAAAAGTTGGTGAAATGTGTGATTAAAAAGTTAACAAAGGTAAATAATCTCATAAAATGTATGATTCAAATAAATTTCAAAGAAAAGAATTTTAAAAAATCGGAGACAAACAGAGATTAAGGAGAGCTATTACCTCCATATTCCCCACTAATAACACAAAACAACTAATTAAAGTAAGTCAAAAATAAGCAAAACATAAATTAATTACTGGGCACACAAACGATGTATACGTACTATCACTTCTTGAGTATTTGAATATTAATAATAGCGATTTCCATTAAATGTATGGATAATAATGATTAGTAATTTTGAATATGTATATGAAATTAATATTTGAGTTTGACTGAACTTATAAATCATTTATAAATTCTATACAAATCGGAGACTTTCCCTCGTTCTTTAATTTTTGTTCTAACCACGGGAAACATAGAAACACGAGCAAGCTGCAAGCAGTACCAGTTTTAATTGTAATTGTGAAAGGAACATAAAGACACGAGCGAGCTGCAAGCAGTACCAGTTTTAATTGTAATTGTGAAAGGAACATAAAGACACGAGCGAACTGCAAGCAGTACTAGTTTTAATGGTAATTGCTAAAAGACAATGTTACACTACCTTATGTCACTCTCTAGATTCATAAAAAATTCGCATAGATTTCATATTATGAGACGTCACAAGTCCACATATTAATGACCCGACAACATAACAGAGGCTGCTTGAATTCCGAATATATGTTATATCTCATGCATGCATTTTGTAATATTATATATATATTTACTGATTTTTACCAAAAATATAACAATAAAAAGATATATAGCATTGGTAGTGGTATTGGGTTCTTTTTAGAGGTGGGCGCGAGTCGGTTCGGTTCGATTCTAAAGAGAAACGAATCGAACCAAAATTTTCGGGTATCTGGTAAATGGAACCGTCGGGTCCAAATATAATTATGGAATCGTTCGGGTTCGGTTCGGTTTCGTACTATAATTAAATTTTTTAATATTTATAACAACATTATATAAATACAACTAATGACACATTCAAGGGTTTTGGAATGTCAGAGACAAGTAGATTACCTTATTCAAATGATCGCTACGGTCAAAGTTTCGATCGGCGATTGTATAGGTTTTGGAATGTCAGCGAGGTTGCGAGAATCGAGACAATGTTATGCACTTCGGTGTAGATGTTTAGGGTTATTTAGTGGGTTGGATCTTGTTGGGCTAAGAAATGAAATAATAAAATGGTAATTGGACCAAAATTAAAAATGAAACAAATTATTTGGACAAAAATTTGGATTTAGAAATTGTTAATTTGTTTAGAAAAAATTAAAATTAAAATAATTTGATTTATTCAATATAAAAAAAAATAGAAAGATTCGATTCTTCAGTTCTTGGTCTAGAACCGAGAATCGAACCGTACCCGTCGGTTCTCAATTTAGATACCCATTCGGGTATTTAATTTGACAAGAACCGTCGGGTTCGAATCGATTCGGATTCGGATCGGTTCGTTCGATTCGAGAGATTTGCCCGGCCCTAATTCTTTAGCTTTATATATATTGTCCCATAGACTTACATACGATCCCACAAATCAGTCATTTTTGCTCTCAATCAGAATAGTACTGTTTGTCTGTACTGTAGAACTCAATAACGGAAAGTAGTTTAAGAAACCCTAATATATATGGGTATATCATCGACTAGCCTTGAGAAGGTGCAGATGAAGAAAGGGCCATGGACTCGAGACGAAGACCAAAAGCTATTGGCTTACATTGAACGACATGGCCTGGGAAGGTGGCGTGATCTCCCGACTAAAGCAGGTAAATTATACTTCTTGTTTATATGCATGCACCAACTCCAAATGTGAGACAGTTGCTTTAAATGATCGACAAACGTCCCATCCCATTTTTATCCAGAACTAAGAATCGACTCAATGAACGATTCTCGCCCTTTGTTATTTAGTCTAGCGATAGCTTTACGGGAACATTTGAAGATACTGCTATTGCCATGCTCTTTTCTAAAATGCTCTATTAAGATGATGTGACTTCTATGAGGAAGAAAAACTTTTGGTTTGTGGAAGATACTTTTGGTTCACCAATTTCTCTATGGTGCAGGGCTTCAACGATGTGGAAAAAGCTGCAGATTACGATGGACAAATTATTTACGACCTGATATTAAGAGAGGAAAGTTCAGCTTGCAAGAAGAAAAGAGAATTATTCAACTCCATGCTCTTTTGGGCAACAGGTAAAATCAAGAATTTAGTACATTTTTTCAATTATAAGCTAATAATTATAAAGTACTTATTTGGTTCACATAGTCTTAGATGGTCAGCAATAGCAACTCACTTGCCAAAGAGGACTGACAATGAGATCAAGAATTATTGGAATACACGTCTTAAGAAGAGATTAAGCAGAATGGGGATTGATCCAGTGACTCATAAGCCCAAGAACCAGCCAGGCACCAATAGTGCTCAGTCGAAGAATGCTGCCAATCTCAGCCACATGGCACAATGGGAAAGTGCTCGACTCGAAGCTGAAGCCAGGTTCCTCCACCAGTCCAAACTTGTATCCAACCCTTATTTATTTCGCCTCCACCACATCGCAACCTCTCTACCACGACTAGCACCTCCACCTCCACCTCCACCTCCACCACCATGTTTAGATATACTAAAAGTCTGGCAAGGAACGTGTAAGTCCTTTTTCACCCCAACTGTAACCCTTGAGTCTCCAACATCTACCTTAAACTTCTCGAGCAACATGCTCCCAGTTGAAGAAACACACCAATCCATCCCGAACATTTTTGTCCCTTCGACAAACATTACTCCTGTCGAAAATTCAAGTGCATTATGCGGATATGAAAAGCATCACAACTCTTTCGAGACAAATGACATAATGGAAAATCCCATGCAGCTTATGGGTAATTATAACCATATTGATCTGCCTATATCTGCTAACTACAACATTGTTGCTGGTCCTGAAGGTTTCGAGGAGATTAAGGATTATTGGAACGACATACTTAATTCAGTGAATTCGCCAGTGTTTTAGCCTTTAAGATTTGCTAGTTCATGTAGAAAATTGTGTCTTTCTATGTATTATGCAACAAGAGATTAAGCACTAAATAAATGAAGTCACTTGATTCAGTGAATTATCTAGTTATTGACGGCATCATTTCATCTTACAGTTCAAAATCCGGATTCTTTTTAGTACAAGAAAAATTCTACAATTCTCGATCCATCATCTCATGTCCCTGCTTCATTTTTTTCCAGAGAAGTATGGCACGTGTTCAATTTTCATAAACGTCTACAATTCAATTTGAACGTAATTAAGAGACTAGAATAACATCATGTCTTAAAATATTTCACATTACAACTTGGAAGGTAAAATAAAGACGATATAAAATTATTTTTGTATTTTCAACCCCCGTGGAGCGAGCAGCTAGCTACCAAACCAAAAAATAAATAAATGACTAGTCAAAGTAGTCCTTGGAACATTAAATAAGACAGGTACATATGTGTGAAGCAATCTATCGCATCAAAAAGATGTGATAAAAAGGAAATGGATGATAGAATGTTAAATCGTTATCTTCCTAGTTTTCACTATTGTTAATATCTTCTATCCTTCTTTATGATTTGGGTTTGTTAAGGTAAAAATTTTGCTAAAAAATGTATAAATTAGTACTTGAGTTACTTTTAAAGTTAAAATACAAAGTTTTAATATAATCAGTCCATTAAGGCCATACAAAAAAGTTTGATTCATCTATTAATTCAAACGAACATTGAATTCCAAGATCAGTATTTGCACACGAGTCATAATCTTTTGAAGCAATATTTAAAAATTAAATCTCAAAATTTAGACATGACGTTTGTTTGGGAGAGATTATTTGAAGTAAAAAGGTTCTTTTTTTTTTTTTTTTTAGAAAATATGTGATTAAAAGTAAAGAAAATTATAGATCCATGTGCAAAATTATTCTAAGTGAAAGAATGTGCGATTATTGAAAATGAATTTCAGGAAAAATAATTTTGTATGAGTTATGCCAAGCAAACCTTAGCCCTTGTTTTATAGAGCTAAAACACCATGTTATTAACCTTTTTTCGAAATTCAAACTTACAATATAGAATAATGTTATTTATCCCCATCGGGGTTGAGCATTAGTCTAAGTTATAAATTAATTTAAATGCAAAGTCACATGCTCATTTAGTTGAACTTATAAAGTATTGTTACCTAAATTGGTGCTCAACTCCAATGAGAATGAATAGTATTACTCTTCAACATAATACATCAAAAATTGGCTCACCATGTTGAAAAGTCAAAACTACCCTCATCATGTGATTTCCCCAATAAGTTTGAAGAATGCCATTTTCGTTAACATGCCACATTTTGTCAGTTGAATTCTCAAGTTTTACAATCAAATGTATTGACTTTTTAATACCGATCCTTTACTCTCAATGGTGACGAATGAAGTTGACACTCGACATCATTGTCCAAACCTAAATTCTAGTAGATATCCAAATAAATGAGTTAGTTCATCAAGGTATGTTTGTATTTGACTATACTCTATAATATTATGTATGAACAGTTGGAAATTTACTTAAACATGCACAGCGAAAATAAAAACAATTTCAATTCCCACCAAGATTCATCTTTGTATTTAGATAAGAGTTGTGATGAGAATTATACATTTTCTTGAATTTGCAAACTCCTTTGCGTTATCTTTGTTCCAACAACTTGAATATGCCTCCCACAACTGTCCAATTGTTCAGCCTCTAATGAATTTCACACAGAGAATAGACTGCAACTGCTAGGGTTTCTCCTCTTATGCTAGCAAGAATTATGAAAACTCTATGGATCTAAAACTCTAGCCATGTATTTAGATAAGCTCAAACGGGCTCGGCCCAATCCGATCCAATATTTAATTAATCCATTTAATTAAATCCGGTTCATGAATTAATTCGGGGCTATAAATAACCAATCAATTAATTAATTTATCCAACAATTGTAAAATTAATTAATTGGCAATTTGTAATCTTCCAATTCTCTTTTATGTGCGACCCATCAAGTTCCCGACCACGATGCTTAACAACGTGAAATATTATTTTGAACTAATCAAAATCGATAAATCAAACACCCTTTTATTTTATCACAAATTCACGCTCATCGTTCCAGATTAACATCTAGCAATGTATCAAGGCAACACATGTGACGGGAAATGTCACGTGGTGTGACAAAATGAAACCTGTTCATTTACCATAAAACTATAATCCCTTCGTCAATTTGATCCGATCAATTACAAGATATGGAAGTGTATCAATCTCAATTATCGATCATATCTTTCATTCTACTATTAAGTCAATATGAGTCGAAAACTCCTTTTAGACTTATGTGTATACTTTGGCCAATGATTTCATTATTGACTTAATTGAACGAAATGCAGATCACGATCTCTTACTATCTAAGAGTGACGAATTCTCTATTGGTCATTCACAACCTTCATATGGTTCTTGACATACCCGAACGATGCCGTATTAGCGGTCCTTGGTAAAGCAACATCCAACACCGTCAAAACATGACTGTCCTCATACAAAGCACTATGATGACCTCAAGTCATATGACCAATTCTACTACCGAACGTTAGATGTTAACCACTGACACTCAGATAGTTATCCATAAGGAATCTCTTAGCGGGTCTCCAATGTTTTGTTCTATAACAAAACATTCACTTGTTCATTTAAGTGTCACCACACTTTAACTTGTGAGATCGGCTACTTACTTCACAAGTAGGAAAAGCTACACGTGATGGTCTATCTGTAATAACGATATCCATATCTCATTATTACTTACAATCACGGATTATTCAAGATCCAATCATACGTAATTTGTATCTCACAATCACAACTCCTTGTAATTAACAAATCACTTAAACTTGAATCTTCGGACTCTATTATTTAATATTATTTATCAGAAAATTAATTTAAATAAATAATAAATCTTGTCAAAATTAAATACATTAAACATATTAAAAGTGTTTACAATCTATATCGATTGGATCTAGGGCATAACACTTATATGGAAATTGGGTATATATAGATTTTTTGAGATCTAGACTAAGCTAGTTTCCGTTGAGAATTGGGGAAAAAAAAGGAATTGAATTTTGATTTGGTCCGGTCCAATTGTTTTAACATTTATGCTCAAGTTCAAATGTTTTAAACCCGACGGAAGGCAAGGCCAAGTACTTGGAGTGTAAAGAAATATGATATAGCATAAATGTAATGAATGAAATGCAAAAGAAGAAGAAGCACTGAACATTTTATATGCCTTTCATTTCAAGTTGCATTAATTGAGTGCAAAAGAGAAACATATATACACGAAATGAAATAACATACTCCTGGCTATCAACCGGCTGCACATGCCTTTGCCTCTATACAACACACCACGACACCTCAGCAGAAGCAAAACAGAAAAACTAACTACTAACTACAAACTAATTTCTTCTACTTTGTACAAAGAAAAATGACTAGCCATTTTCCAATTTCCTGCTTTCTTTTGCATCGGCTGTAGTATGAACCATCTCTTCATCATCATTGCTTGACACTTTATGCTGCAATATCCCCCACAAGATGAAGAACGGATATTAACATTTCCCATCTTGAAAAGGTGAATGTTAAAAATGCGAGAAGACAATAACTTTGTAAAAATACCAGCCAACTGGAATTAAGTACTTATATAAGTTGTGCAAATGGTCCCTTCTTGTATTTTGTTATAGATTAAGTGACAACCGAGTTCAATATGCTTCATACGTTTATGAAATACTAGATTAGCAGCAATGTGTAAGGTTGTTTGGTTGTCGCAATGAAGAATAGCAACTTATGGGTGAAGGACTTGAAGGTCAGACAAAATATAACTTAGCCAAGTGAGCTCGGAACATGTGGCTGACATTGCTCGATATTCAGCCTCAATTGTGTTAAGACTTGAGGTCCATCTTAATAAAGTCAACCTTATTAAGTGGAGAAGTCCAAAATCTTTATAAATTGGTATTTATTTTGATATTAAATCGATGTGGGATAATACATCCCTTAATAGGCCCTCTCAAGATGGTGGCTCATTTGAGTAGACCAATTTTGAAATCCACGGGATAGCTCTAATACCATGTTGAAGATCTAGAGGCAACTGTCTGTTTCTTTGATTTACATGATTCGAGAGAATCTCCCAAAAAACACAGTAACCTGTCAAGGATCATCTGTTGTCGGGGCACGAGGCCCAATCAGAATCATGGTATGCTATCAACCGTAATGAAGATGAGGCAGAAAATAATAGACCCTATCCAAGAGTTGCTTTGATGTACTGCTGCCAAATGAAGATCAGTGGGATTAGCCATGAACTGGCTCAAGTTCTGAACACTATAACATATATATGGTCTTATGATTGTAAGATAGAGGATCCTTCCAATCAACCTCCTATAAATACTTGGATCCTTCAAGGGTTGTCCCGTATCTTTGCTGAGCTTTAGGTTCAGGTCCATAGAGACTTTTACCTGAGTCAGCCAAAATGTCCAAAACATACTTTCTTTGGCGGATTTGTATGCCTTCAATTGTCCTAGCAACTTCAATCCCTAAAAAATACCTTAGAGTACCTAGGTCTTTAATCTTGAATTTCTGGTTCAAGTTCTTGAGTTCAACAATCGATTCTTTATTGTTGGTAGCTACTATGATATCATCAACATAGACCAACAATGTTGTAAAAGAGTCTCCATTATTCTTGGTAAATAAACTGTAATTAGCCTTGAATTGTGTAAAACCAAAATCAACAAAGGAAGCAAAAAATTTGGAGTAACATTTCCTTGAGGCCTGCGTAAGCCCATTCAAACTCCTGACAAGTTTACACACTTGCTGTGATCCTCCTTTGTTGTAACCTAGTGGCTTACGCATATAAATTTCTTCCAGTAAATCTCCATGAAGAACCACATTCTTAACATCAAATCGTATTAAAAACTAGCCCTAAATCGCTGATATGGATAGTAAGCACCTTACTGTAACCAAGCAACTGGAGAAAAGTGTTATGGTAATCTATCCCTTCTTGTTTTGTATAAACCTTAACCACTAGTTGTG